CTCGTCGTCCTGTGGAAGCGGCGTATCCCAATCTGGGTCGGGGGCGCCGTCCACGCGTTTCTTGCAGGCTTTGGTTAACTCGCTGCGAGCGAGTTGCCAGGACGCGCGGAGACGGGCGAGGGCGATCAGGTCGGTCTTGTGGGCCTCAACCTTGTCCAAGACCTCAGACTGGAGTTTGTCTTCGTAGTCCGTCTCCTTGAAGACACTAGCGAAGTCACTCGCCGACTCGAGCCCGAAGCCTCCGTCAGAGCGAGGCTGGAGCAGGAAGGTGATGACTGGTTCTGGCACGGACGAGTCCGCGAAGAACTTCTTCAGGACGGACGGCTCGGCGCCGCTTGCGGCGGCCATGGCTGGGGGAAGCGCGGGCGTCTGGAAAGTGTGCCCGCGGGGCAAGGGGGGCGCCAGCAGTGCCCGGAGGCGCTTCGATCACCTGCGAGGACGCGGGGGGGCGAAGGGCTGAGTGGAGCTGGGGCAGGAAAAGCAGGATAGGGGGAGGAAGAGGGGGGCGGCGAAAAAAGAATGGAGGTCTCGGAGGGGAGGAGAATGGGGAGGTCGAGCGGGGGCCCACGATGTCCAGGCCACGTGCCTGCCCGGATCCCCTCTCCTGCGCGCGCGGCGAGGGAGCGCGAGGAGGCGGGCAGCCGCTGTCGCTGTCTCCGCCGCCGCTGCCGCCGCTGCCTCTGTTGCCGCCGCCGCCGGCGCCGTGGGGGGGCAGGCCGTCGCTCGCTCGCTCGCTCCGCTGCTCCCTTGTCCCAGGAGTGAGAAGAGGGAGGGCAGAGCAGAAAAGGAGAGTTGTAGAGGAAAAAAAGAGAGGGGGGGGAGCAGGAGGGAAGGAGGCAGGCGGAAAGGGGTCCTCGCAGCCCTGCGGAGCCTGTTGCGTGCTGCGGGGGCGTTCCGGAGTCCCGCTCTGTCGCAGTTCCCGTCTCTGCTCCCTGCTTTCCCTCTACCTCTCTCTCTCTCTCTCTCTCTCTCTCTCTCTCTCTCTCTCTCTCTCTCTCTCTCTCTCTCTCTCTCTCTCTCTCTCTCTCTCTCTCTCTCTCTCGCCATCCCTCTCTGTTCCCCCTTTCCCCCCCCCTTTTTTCTCCGAGGCAAAGTCAAGGTCCGCGCGGTGGGCGCTGCAGTCCAGAACCCATACAGGATTCAATCGTCACGGTCTTCGAGCAAACCTCGCCGGCTCAGCGCTGATCGGCATCGCGGAGACCAATCCCTGCCAGTGCTGGCCGCTGAAGCCAATCCGCGGCCCTCCTCGCACCCCCAGGCGAAGGGGGCGTCTCGGCAGCGGCCGACAAGGGATCCCTCCGCCGAAGCACTAGCAGCGGCAAGATGGAGCCTGCTGCGCGGCCCCTTAGGAAGCAACCAGCAGACGCTGTCGACGTCACCCAGAGTGGATTCGGTGTCGCTGTCGGCGCTGGCAGAGGAGCTGTCGTCCGACTCGAGCGCGGCCGCCGCCGGGGCAACCGTGGCGGTGCTGGCGGAGGGGGGCAACACCAGCGGCGCCTGACGGAGCGCCGCGGCGTGCGCTGCAACGGGCAACGCCGCCACTCCCCACTCACTACCAGCCACTTCTCGCAGGAGCTCTCCATGTCGAAGGGCAAGATGGCGGACTGCTTCGTCGTCGGCGGTTGGATCGCGGCCGGCTTTGTGCAGCGCGGCCAGACAAAGCCTCCGCGTTTCAGCAGAGGTCTCGAGCCTGGCGTCCGAATATCGGACAGCCACAGGCTCCCGCCGTCGGTTTGCCCCCCCGTCGCTGCGCTGCGGGGTGCCCACCCAATTCCCCAAGCCCGCGCGACAGTCGGAGTCCAAGCGCAGACGGTCAGCCACACTCGGAAGCTTCCGCCGCAAGGAGTAGGTGGATACCGCCCTGGTCTCGTGAGGCGTTAGCGACAGCGGGGGCAATGTGCAGATGGCCCGTAGACAGCCCATGAATTTCGCATAAGACATGGGTGTTGGACGGACGTCTGACTCAGCGGACAAACCTGCACCTGCACGACAAGCAATGTCTGGCACCAGATAATCGGCGTCAGGGTTGCGCACGCAAAGCTCGTCAAAGAGCTGGCGAAACAGTGGCAGGTTGGGCTGGACATACGCCGGCACGGCAACGCAAAAGGCCTCGCCTTTTCTGGTTTTGCCTTTACTCACCATGCCGACGAGGGTGCGGCCAGCGCATCGTTCGCAGGCGAACGTGTGCCTCTGGGCATGGCGAAACCTAAGACAGGACACCGCAATGAACATCACCAGTTTGGCAAACAGCGCGATTGCCCCCGTCTGGGAAGTGGCCAAGCCGAGAATATGTCGCCACACCCGTAGTTCGAGTTCTCGGGCCATCGGGCGGACCGAACGCCCAGCTGGGGGCTTGCTGTGTTGCACCACTAGCGGTGAATCAAGTGGGAGATGAGTGAAGCCTATGTGGTCGGACAACCACTTCAGGCCTGTCCACACTCCGTTTGCCGCAGTGGGCCCCCCAGCAGCCACGTCATCGAACCACGCGGCTATGTCCAGCGCCGCTGGAGCGGAGGCGGACCCCACCAGAGAGAGGGGCTGCTGTTCCACCCATTTACTCCATCGGCGCCACGTATTACAAGCGTGGTTAATGCCGCGCGCATCGAATCGCAACGCCAGTTGCCCAGCGAAGCGGTCGAGCCACGTTTGGAGTTGGCCAGCCGCCTCCGCAACACTGTATTTTTGGTAGAATTTGCTGTGCGCACGGAGGTCTACCAGCAGTCTTGTAGCGGCAGCTGCCGCGCAAGCTCGCTTGTTGGCGTCAGTGTCTGGGGCAGCGGCACTGCGTGGCAGTGGGCGCCAATGTGCCTGAGCCCGCGCGACGACTCCGACACGCGGCACTTTTGGCGCTGGTTGCCCTATGCCAGTGCATGGCCGAGCTGGTCCGGGAAAGAGGTGGCGAATGCCGCTCTCTATCGGACGCTGTTGTTGCTGACGCAATGCCGCAATCGCGGCACTCCGTGCTGCCAGCAGCCCTGCTGAGCAGGGTGTGCCGGTCAGCCGAGCGAGTTCGTCGGGGCGCAAGCCAGCGAGGTCAGAGGGCTGGCATCCAGTACTGGCCAGTATCTCTGCCTCAGCTGGTGTTGCATCGCCCCATTGCGATGTAGGCGAAACGCCCTCTGGATCCATAGCGGCGCGCGCGGCGGGGCAGGGAAACGAAAACCCTCGCCTGCGCACCCCTCGGGCCGAGAGGGCTGCGACGAGGTACACACTCCCATCTGATGATAATCCCCATCAGCACCTACCCTGCCTTCCCAAAACTGATCGGAGCGAGAAGCAGGAGGCGGAGGCACAGCAGGAGCAGGAGCAGGGGGAGCGGGAGAAGCAGGACGGCCAGGGGAAGGCGGAGGGGAAAAGACAGGGAAGGACTCGGATCCATGAGGGGTCCCTGGGACACACAAATAAATACACTCCAAAAATAGGATTCCCCATATTTCCCCATATGTTCTGGGGTTTTGTCTTCCCCCCCACTTCCCATATGTTCCCATATTTTCCTAGGAATCGTCGATTAATTGCGTCTGTGATTTTGTTCCTCCTGAATCCAGCAATGGTGGCCAGCGCAGGGGCCCGCCATCCTGAACCACGGGAGCAAAGCGCTAAGTCTGAAATGAAGCCAAACATTTCCCGATTGAAATCAACAAACCGTATGTCGAAAAAACGTTTGGCATCCTTTGTGTAAGAACAAGCCACACAAACAACTCTGCAATCAAAACGGCCCCGCCCACGACGGCAGAACATCACGAAAGACATCCCGTCGGACGACGTGGGAAAACTGGGGACCTCTGGGGGGCCCTCGGGGCGCCGTGTCGGGGCAACTACTCTAGTGCCCTTTTACATGCACACCGTCCGATGTCAGTTCTGCCCGGAGCCCCGCAAAGGACAAATACGTTAGCCCGATACTAACAAAACGCTGCATCGACGCGTTTGGATCCCTAACATTTGCCAACATGTGTGCAATTCGCGGCTCCAGAGGACCCGACCGCATCCTCGGAGTTTCTCGCCACGGGTTCATTTTTGTTGGTCCAGGGGCCCGAGAAGGGCCCCCGAAGGCCGGAATCACAGAAAAACGCGCGGATTGAAAACATAATCTGCGATCTGGGTCCACGTACTTTAACCGTCTGGCGTGGTTGCCTCTAACTTGTCAGGGGCACACCTGCCCCGGTCAGCGCAAACCTGGGTCAGCCAGGGCCCTGTCGCGAAGCCAGGCCAGCCGCCTTGTAGCTCCCAAGCCAGGGTCAGCGGAGGGCGGAAGAGGGGAATCGGCACCACGGGTCGGCCAGAGGGAATTGGCTGACCTCCGTGATCGGCGGCGAGCCCAGGAGGACAGTCAGAGGGGGTGGGCCCTCTCAGAAGGCTCGGAAGGCCTCTGGCCTTGAGAGAAATGTTCTGCTAAGCCTTCTCCGAGAACATCGACGACTTCTGAGAAGGCCGCAGGGCTTCTGAGAGGACCCGCTGAGGAGGCCTGCCCCCTCTCCCTTCCCCCCGGGGCTCACGGCCGACGTTAGCACTGACCCCTGTGACGTGAGCCCCGAACTTGTAGAAGAACATCACGGTATAGACATTGACTCTCGGCGGTCCGCGCGGATTTCTTGGATCGGCGCTGGACCCCCCTCTCTGGCGCGCGGAGCGCGCTGGGGGCGGCGCTGGAGACGGCGCCAGGGGCACCGCCAAGGGGGGCCCAGCGCCGATCCAGAAAATCCACGCGGAGGGCCGAAAGTGTATGTTCACTCTGGGGTTCAAAATACAAGGGGGTGGTCTGATTTGGGGGGGTCTGATTTGGGCTGACTTAGTGGGTTCTGGGGGGTCTGGACACAAGGCCGCCCTTTCATGGATGGTCTGCGGGGGGTCGGGTGTCTAAAACTGCTCGTCTGGGAGGGTTGTGACCCCCTCCCTATTATTACGAAATTTGGAATACTCGTTCTCGAGCTGCACGAGCCCCGAGCTTGGTCAGGGCCTCCACACGGCGCCTCTGGGGGCCTCCCGGCTGGGTGGGCGGCGGCCTGGGCCCGATCGCGGCGGCCACGCCGCGGAGGCTCTGGAACTTCGCCTGCGGGAGGGCGTGTCCGTCGCCGCCGCCGTCGCCACAGCTACAGGCCTCCCACATGTAGTCTTGATCGTCGTCGTCGTCGTCGGCGGCGGCTGCGGTGGCACAATCAGAGGCCTCCCGGATGAGATCCGGGTAGGTGGGGTCGGAGGATCGCGCTGCATCGTTGATGTCGGCGATGCGTCGGCGACGCTGGCGTGAAGAAGGCATACTGGTACTGCATGTTCCTGTCGGGGACACACGTCCGACCCGAACATGCAGTACAAGCGTCTTACAGTACATCGTTTCCCTGGGCGGCACGGACAGAAAAGACCCACCGCCGAGCATGCAGCTATCAGATTTCTGAACGCGCTAATCACCGCTGGGGGCCGACGCGCACATCCTATAAATGTACTCGGGTGGCGGGGGGGGGAGGTCGTCGTCGTCGCCGCCGCCGTCGACACAATCGCCGCCGCCGCCATCGGTCGGGGGGTGCTCAACCCAGAGCCCCTCGCATCGTGAAAAAAAACTACGGGGGGTGCTATGTTCAGGCCCAGGGGTCCCTGACTGGGCCCCAGGACCGTCGAATACACCAAAGGTTGCTTCAAGGGTGTTCCGAATAACGCATGTGTAACTCAAACTATGGTTTTCGGCCTGGGCGCGGCACCGCAGACGCCCTCATGCTTGTAAGTCGCATGATAGATGCCGCACATATCAACAATAGCGGGGGCATGTTGGCACCAAAGCTGGATTGGGCGAAAGCCTTTGACAGAATTAAGCCGGAAGCCATGCGCAAAGCCTTACAACGATTTGGCCTATCCAGCGACATCGTGGACATGATACGCTCCATCTACGCAGCTCGCTTCTTCACCACCCTGGACCACACTGGAAGCTTTACTGAGAGGGGACAAGCCGCTGGGATCCCGCAAGGGTGTCCGCTGTCTCCGTACTTGTTCATCGCAGTGCAGACGGTATTGCTGCATGACGCGATCGATTATGTACCTCTTGTATCTGAACCTGGATGCATGGTTAACCCCAGAGGTTCTACATGCTGACGACACAATGTTAGTATCGCAGTGCCAAGCGGACCTGCAGGCCGTGCTGAACGCAATCGTGGTAGAAGGGCGCGAGTATGGCTTGGAGCTCAACTGGGGGAAAACAGTACAAATGCGGATGTTCACAAATACAAAAGTAACGAGACCAGACGGCTCTGATATAAAAGCAGTGCGAGACGCAAGATACTTAAGAACTGTGGTTTCGTGTGATGGGAAAGCTACAGCTGAAGTGTCCAGAACATTAAGAAACACAGCCAGTGCATTCAAACAACTCGATCGACGTTGCTCACGGTCGTCTCTTGGATGGAGCAGAAAATTCAAGACCTACGACAGCGTGGTCCTGAGCAAGCTCCTCTATTTCTTGGAGTCTCTATGGTTGCAAAGCGGATCGTGCTCGTCTGGACGCCTTCCACTGCAAGAGTCTGAAGCGTATTTTAGGCATCCCATCGGCATACATGTCCAGGGTGAGTAATGCGAGAGTGTTGCAAAGGCATCAGCGAATCCGCTGTCGCAAATGATTATTCTAGCCAAAAAAAACATGTACAATAAAATAGCTACGTGTGACGCAAGCTCGTTTGTAAAGCGTCTACTTTTAACGAAAGCGGGATCTTTAGGGATTGGTCTGCACGCCGCAAGAGGGGCCGGCCCGGGCAGTAGTGGGCTTCGTCAGTGCAGCCGCTTACTTAACAGTTGTAGTTTGTAAATGTAACGTTGCTTCCCCCTTCCCCCTCCTTCTCTCCCGCCTCCTCCCTCCTTCCTGTGCTCCATGCTTGCGAGCAGTTCATATTCTGCTTCACAGTCGGGCGCTGTGGCTTCTGCTTCATAGTCGTGAAGCGCTCGCGCCTGTGACGTTTGTTGCTTCTGCTTCACAGTCGAGTCTCCGCGCCATCGTCCTTATTGCATTTTCCGAAGAGTTGCCACTTGTGCACTCTTCTGCCCACGCGTCCTGCTGGATGCTCGACTCAGTGGTGGTGGTGGTGGTGGTGGATGAGAAGCCGGTCCTAGGGACTGGGTCGAGACCTCTGGGGGTTCACATTGCGAAAAAAACATAACATCAGAGGTCTGGAAATGTTCCCCTGAACTAAGGTGCCCCCAGCTTTTCGCTTTGGATCCCTCCATCGGGCCTCCTGGGGCTCGTGAGCGGTGTCCTCTGGAGGCCGTGGGTGCAAACCTTGGAGATCCTGGGGGTCACCTTGGGCCAGGGACACTCCTGGCAACACCCGAATCGGAATCGTCGGTGTCGTCGGTGTGGTCGTCGTCGCCGTCGCCGTCGCCGTCGCCGTCGCCGTCGCCGTCGTCGTCGTCGTCGTCGTCGTCGTCGTCGTCGTCGTCGTCGTCGTGGGGGTCGCTGGGGTCGACGTCGCCGCCTTCGTCGTAGGAGAGGAAGAGGGAGAGGTAGGGGAGGAGAGTGAGGAGGCAGGGGGAGCGAAGAGAAGAGCGAAGATGAGCGAGGAGGAGAAAGACCCCTTCTCCTCCTCCTCCTCCTCCTCCTCCTCCTCCTCCTCCTCCTCCTCCTCTTCCTCCTCCGCCTCCTCCTCCTCCTCCTCCTCCTCCTCCTCCTCCTCCCCACCTCCTCCTCACCATCATCCACCACAATGCCATAGCCATCCCCTCCTCGCTCCCCTCCCCTCTGGAACGTCGCTTGCTCCATGGGGAGAGGGGGGAAGGAGAGTCCTCCTCGTCCCCATTCACCCCTCCGTCCTCATTCTCCTCCCCCCTCCCTACCTGCATCTGTCCTTCCCCCCTCCCTTCTGAGGAAACCGACAGCAACGATACCGCTACTCCCCGGACCTCTCCTTGGATGTGTTGGGACCAGGATCGAGACGAATCCAGCAGTGGCGACGAGGGCCTCCCAAAGGCCCAAGAAGGGGAAAACGAGGGAAAGGTAGCGGTATGGGTACCTTTCCATCCTCTGACCTTCTCCTACCACCAGCATCCCCTGTAGTGAACACGTCGCCTGCTCCACGCAGCCAAGGCTCTGGTGTAAGCAGCAGTACTCCTCCAGGCGGAGGGGCGGCAGAGGGAGCAGAGGCGGAGGGAGAGGTCGCGGGGAGGGGGGGGAGAGGGATGTTGGCGGCGAGCTCAAGGGGGTAGAGGGAGGGGGGAAGGCTTCTTAGAAGGAGGCTGCTTCGTAGAAGGCGCCGGCCCCACATCTATAGACAAGGCCCGCGCTTTCAAGTAAGCAGGGGTGCTTCTAAGACATCTTCTCCCGTCCCCGTACCCCTCTCTGCGCGTGGCCGAGGGTGGGGACCCAGATCTGCGGCGGCTCGAGTCATCGGGACGGCCATTACTTCGCAGCGTTCGGCCTCGATGGGAGGCCGTTCCAGGGGGGCCCCGGACCGCCTTCAAAACTGCATGAAGGGGGGGTCCAGAGCTGCGGACCAGCGCCTCAGAAAAACGAGTCGTCGGAGGGATGGGGGGAGGGAGAGAAGATGTTGGCTTCAAATGTTCTGATGGACGGGCTCAGGTCTACATAGTCAGATTTCTGGACGCTTCTGGGGCAACAAAAACTGAAACATGTTCGAAGGCACTGAAGGTTCGGGGGTAATCGAAGCGACGGCGGAGCCAGCGAGGAAGAGCAGCAGCCGTAGCATCAAGGATGGGGAATGGAGCAAGGGAACGGATAGAAGAAGGAGGGAGAAGCAGGGGAAACATAAGGACAAAAGGTGGGAGAAGAGAGAAGGAATGAGAGAGAGGAGGAACATCCCGAAACCTGTTGGCGATTTAGCGGGCTCTCTCTTCCAACTCCTTGCTCGCTTTCCTGATGGGGGCAAAAAGGAGGGGAGCGGCTCGGGAAGGGGCAACATTTGGCCTGGAATCGATGGCACATCGCCGATACATAGAGGGGGCGACTTTGGACGCCCGACATGGGTGCGGGAAAAAGGTGCAACATGCCCAACAACAAATGGTGTTCAAAAGCAACAGCGGCCGCTGTTGGGCAGGCGGCCTTCTGTCTCAAATGGACAGCGTCTGCGGCGACACCGACAGCGAGTCCTGTTCAGAATGAACCACGTGTGCGGTCGGTCGTTGCACCAATCATTTCTGTGTCCATGCCGATCGTCCCGAAGAGAGCGGCGATGGGCCCCTGCTGGGGACCCCCCAACGTTCCCCTGGCAGGTTGGGGCACCCAGCCCCCGATCGGCGAGGAACGGGCGACTGCGGTTCGATGCCTCAACTCCTCAGCCAGTCCCTCCCTGTTGGCGCACCGCCTTCCCCCCGACCATCCCCTCCCCAGTTGAGAGAGGGGGGGAGAGAAAACTCAAAGACACCCATATGGCCTTCAAGATGGCACAGTACTGCCCAGTGTTGCCGACGATTGCATCCAGCACGCTTCCAACAGGCCCGAGCAAGACCGCCACAAGATGGCCCGAGGTGGTCACGGAGTCTCGGTTTCTGAAGCTTCAAAATGGATCCAGGATGGCCCAAGGGTCTAAGAGAGCCCCCAGAGACCCCAAGATCACCCCCAACAACATCCTAAGAGACCATTGAGTGGCAATCTTACGGGATCCTGAAGGACAACGGCAATTGAGGTTCACCCTTTTTGGACCGATGGTCAGATGGCTCCGAGAGGGCCCCAATAGAGGCCCAGTAGGGCTTCAGAGGCTGCTAGCAGAGCCCCCAAGGAGACATAAGATGGCTCCAAGTGGCTCTCAGAAATCTCCAGTATGGTCTGTCGGGGGCACACATGCCCCCCCTCGATCCTTCTTGCGGCAACCCGCCCGGGAATCGGCTCTGGATGCGGCTGGTGGACACGGAACGACGGACGGAGGGGAGAGGGTCAAGGAGGGAAGGGGGGGAGGGAAACAGGAGGATGGAAGGAGGGACGAGGAGAGAAGCAGGAGCCAGGGGAAGGGAGGATGGGAGCGGGGGAGGTGCGCGCGCCACGTGCGCACGGGCGAGCGGCAAAATGGCACCAGAGAGCGGAGGGGGCCCCTCCTGCTTCTGCTTGGACCAGTCGGCCTCCCGCCCCTTCCGTGCGTCTCTGCCGGCCGTGCTGCTCCTGTCCTGTGCTGCTGCTCCGTCTGCGAGAAAGCCCGCGAAATTCGGCCGAAGAGCCTGGACCCCAGCGAAAATGATGCACCTCTCTCGCCCTCTCTCTCTCTCCTTCTCTCTCTCTCGCTCTCTCTCTCTCTCTCTCTCTCTCTCCCTCTGCATCTGTAGATACGAATACACGTCAGCCGCCGTGCCACGAGGCACGAAGTGGAGTCACCCCCAGGCTCTCATGTGTTCCCTGCTCCCTGTACTCAGGTCTGGGGGATTCTACACCACGCGAAATGGTTAAGAAATCATGGGTTAAGAAATTCATGGGTCTCAGAACTTGGAAAAAACAAAAACCCAACATTTCTATCAAAAGCTTAGGGTTTACACTGACACGTTAAGAATAATCGAGACCCTGGCCGAAAACTCAAGTTTTCCTAAGCATCGCCTAAGGCGTAGCGTTCGAAGGCTCCGACATTCCCTGGGAGCTCCCGCGCGCTGCGGGGCTGCCTCGCGGAACTTTTCTCTCTATATAAGCCACGGGGGGCCCCAAGACGGGCCCGGAGGGGCTCCTTCCTCCTCCTCCTCCTCCTTCCTCCTCCTCCTCCTCCTCCTCCTCCTCCTCCTCCTCCTCCTCCTCCTCCTCCTCCTCCTCCTCCTCCTCCTCCTCCTCCTCCGCCCCCTAGAGGCCTCCAAGACAGCCCACGAGCGCTGGAAGACGCCCCAAGATGGCCCCAAGACGACCCCAAGAGGCCCAAAGAAGCCCCAAGAGCGCTCCAAGGGGACCCCCCACGAGGGCCCAAAGAGCACACACTGATGTCCCTTGCGTGTATTCGATGTGTTTCGAGTTCTCGCGTTTTCGGGCTTCCGACGCTCCAAGATGACCCCAAAGGCCCCCAAGACCGCTCAAAGACGGCACAAGAGGCCCCCAAGAGGGCCCCAAGACGGTCCAAGAGGGTCCCCAAGCGGCCCGAAAGGCGCCCAAAGTCGCCCAAGGGGGCCCCAAGACGGCCCCAAGAGGGGCCCGAAAGGGGGAACGCGAACCGACAATTCGAGCCCTCCGCCCCCAGAGGCTCCCAAGAGAGCCCAAGAGGCCCTCCTGGAGGCCCCACGAGGCCCCCAAGAGGCCCCACAAGAGGCCCCACAAGAGGCCTCACAAGAGGCCCGCAAACAGCCCCCGAGAGATCTCAGAACTGCCTCCGAGAGGCCCCCGAGAGGCCTCCCACGATATCCCCAAAGGTCTCCTACCCAGGCACGGCGGCGAGACGGGCCGAAGGCCACTATCCGCCGCCCCCTGTGGTCTTGCCACAGGGGTGCACGGCGTGCTGGATGCTTCAGGTTTTGGTTTTCGTTCTTTTTCTACAAGAACTCCCCAGTGGGCTTCGGCCCGTCTCGCCGGCCACCCGCAAGTTTCCGAAAATCCATCTGTCAATGCCTTTGTTGCCCCAACTTGGCCCAAGATGGCCTCCAAGACGGCCAAGATGGCCCAAGATGGCCTCCAAGATGCCTCCAAGACGGCCAAAATGGCCTCCAAGACGGGTAAGATGGCTCCAAGATGCACCCAAGACGGCCCAAGATGGCCTCAAGATGGTCTAAGACGGCCCAAAAGGCCCGCAAAAGGCCTCCAAGACGGCCCAAGAGCCCTCCAAGACGCCCTCCAGGAAGGCCCGAATAGGTTAAAACATTGATTTTCCTTAGGTGTTTCAAGGATTTTGGCATGTTCTTCTTTTCAGCTCTCCGACGGCCCAAGACGGCCCAAGAGGTCCCCAACATCGCCCCAACAGCACCCAAGAGGCCTCCAAGATGGCCCCATGACGGCCCAAGAGGCCCCCAAGAAGGCCCCAAGAGGGCCTCAAGACGGCCCAAGAGGCCTCCAAGACGCCCAAGATGGCCTCCAAGACGGCCAAGATGGCCCAAGATGGCCTCCAAGATGCCTCCAAGACGGCCAAGATGGCCTCCAAGACGGGTAAGATGGCTCCAAGATGCACCCAAGACGGCCCAAGATGGCCTCAAGATGGTCTAAGACGGCCCAAAAGGCCGGCAAAAGGCCTCCAAGACGGCCCAAGAGCCCTCCAAGACGCCCTCCAGGAAGGCCCGAATAGGTTAAAATCATTGATTTTCCTTAGGTTTTTGAAGGATTTTGGCATGTTCTTCTTTTCAGCTCTCCGACGGCCCCAGACGGCCCATGAGGTCCCCAACATCGCCCCAACAGCACCCAAGAGGCCTCCAAGATGGCCCCATGACGGCCCAAGAGGCCCCCAAGAAGGCCCCAAGAGGGCCTCAAGACGGCCCAAGAGGCCTCCAAGACGCCCAAGATGGCCTCCAAGACGGCCAAGATGGCCCAAGATGGCCTCCAAGATGCCTCCAAGACGGCCAAAATGGCCTCCAAGACGGGTAAGATGGCTCCAAGATGCACCCAAGACGGCCCAAGATGGCCTCAAGATGGTCTAAGACGGCCCAAAAGGCCCGCAAAAGGCCTCCAAGACGGCCCAAGAGCCCTCCAAGACGCCCTCCAGGAAGGCCCGAATAGGTTAAAATCATTGATTTTCCTTAGGTTTTTCAAGGATTTTGGCATGTTCTTCTTTTCAGCTCTCCGACGGCCCAAGACGGCCCAAGAGGTCCCCAACATCGCCCCAACAGCACCCAAGAGGCCTCCAAGATGGCCCCATGACGGCCCAAGAGGCCCCCAAGAAGGCCCCAAGAGGGCCTCAAGACGGCCCAAGAGGCCTCCAAGACGCCCAAGATGGCCTCCAAGACGGCCAAGATGGCCCAAGATGGCCTCCAAGATGCCTCCAAGACGGCCAAAATGGCCTGCAAGACGGGTAAGATGGCTCCAAGATGCACCCAAGACGGCCCAAGATGGCCTCAAGATGGTCTAAGACGGCCCAAAAGGCCCGCAAAAGGCCTCCAAGACGGCCCAAGAGCCCTCCAAGACGTCCTCCAGGAAGGCCCGAAAGGGTCAGAATGGCCTCCAGACGGCCAAGATGACCTTCAAGATGCCCACGTGTTCCCCGAAGGCTT